GACAGAAAAATAAATCTGCTGAAAGAGCTGAAAGAAAGTAGGAATAAAAGCAAATTATTGTCGCAGTGAGACACAGAGGCATAGAGTACTGCTAGAGTTCATCACCATCATTGTCTCCAGATTACAATGTAAGAGAGAACTGGAGGAGACAGCACCACACTTCAAAATTGTTAGAATAGCTTAGAAGCAGGTTAAAAAAATAAGACTAAGGGGAAGATATAAAAGCCACCATTTTACGTACCTTTCAAGTGTGTAATGCTATGTTAGCAGAGACAGGAAATGAGGCATTCCTAACCTGCACAAATTCTTAATGTGCAAGGTACATATTAAGTGGCTACAGTGCTAAGAAACATGCTGTTTCTAAACAGAATTTATTTTGGTCTCACCCTCAATTGTAAGCAAATGGCATAGAAAAAGATGTAAAAGAAGAGGAAGAAGCCACAAAACAGAGTCTGTGAATATGGAAAAAAGTATGTTTAAAACAAATTGTGCGGAGTTTAAATAGTAGAAACCTGAAAAAGGCCATATAGATATATAGATGATGAGGAATGGAAAAGTACTGAAAGGAGTGTATACATGTTGGGACATGGTGAGAGATGTTGGGGAAGGCCAAGCAGGAACAACACGGCGGCCTTCAGGATAAGCTCATCAGGAGACAGCTTGAGAAAACGTGCCTGATTCAGCAAGACACCAGGATGAGTCCCTGTCAGACTGCCAAGAATATGTTATGGGGCGGAAAGCTTGTTGGGCCGCAGTATTCCCTCTGAGAATACCCTGTGCCAGGGGGGCAACCCCTTCTCACCATCAGAAATTGTCTCTTGGTCAACTACCTTCCCTAAACTCCGTGATGACCCTACTGGGTTTGCTCAAAAACTCCAAACCCTCTTTGAGGTTTATAAGCCGACCCACAGCAATATTCAGATGCTCTTCAGTAGTCTTCTTCCTGGAGACCAGAAAGACACCCTCCTCAAAGTGGCCAGCTGGTCTCCTCAAGACCCTGGTAAAGACCATCTGCCCAATCTCTATAAACAGGTCCTTAAGGCAGTCCCCAGGGTCTCCCCACAAAAAACAGGCTGGTCCAAAATTTCCACCTGTAAGCAAAAGCCAGAAAAACATCCTGCTGACTACTATTCTCGCCTGGTCCAAGCCTTTAAGGCATTCTGACATTCTAGCAGTCAGGACCCAGAAACTAGCCTCCCTGCCGTAATTATTCAGACCTTTGTTTTAAGGCTGTTACCTAGGATCTCCGAGTCACTGCAAAACACTGTGATCGCGTGGGAAACTAAACCCCTCACCAAAGTTTTGGCTGCTGCCACTATCTTCTATACTAAAGCCCAACAGCAAAAATCAAAGGCTCTGGACAAACTGATGGCTTTGCAAATCAGAGATCTCCAGGGTGGCGCCAGACCATGGCACCCTGTGGGACCATTTCGCTCGGCCCGACCACCTGGTCCCTCTGATATTCCCAATGATGTCTGTTGCTACTGTAAGCAAAAAGGCCACTGGAAGAATGAGTGCCCAAATAAACCCCGGGGGCCCCCACTGTCAGCTAGTGCCCCTCCATTTCAGCCGGGTGCCCACCGAGTTCCACTGCCCGGACCAGCTCCTCTCCAGGAGGAAAGTTGAAAATCAGTATTAGAACAGCCAAGAAGACCCAGAGACTCTAGCCCCTTTACTTTCTACCTTTTCTGATGTTACGATACCTGTTACTGTGGGAGGACAAACTGTTCCTTTTCTTGTCAACACTGGTGCTTCTTTGTCTATGCTTAGCTCTAGTTTTGTTTCTAAGGTTCCCGTTTCTGGTAAAGTAATCACTGCTGTAGGTATTGGGGATCAATCCATTGACCACCCCGTTACACAGCCGCTTTCGTTTACCTTGGGTCCCCTTACTGAGCAACTTGCCTTTTTGGCAAGTGCTTGCGCCTCTGTAAATCTGTTGGGGCAAGACCTCCTTTGCAAATTGCAGGCAACAGTTCACTGTTCTCCAGATGGGGTTTTCCTCACATTACCCCAGACTCAAATTCCTGCCTTGATGATGACACTAATGAAACAGGAACCCGAGCCCAATTCTTCCTCGTTGCAACAGGAACTATTGGCTCACCTTCCTGAGTCCTTTTGGTCCCACTCCACAACTGATGTGGGACATCTCAAGGATGCCATCCCAGTTTCTATCAAGGTTAAATCAGGAGTGTCTCCCCCATCGATCCCACAATACCCACTATCAGTTGCTGCCTCCAGAGGCATTGCTCCTGTAATACAAGGTCTCCTAGAACAGGGTGTCCTTGTACCTACCTGTTCTTGTTGTAATACCCCAATCCTTCCAGTCCAAAAGAAGAAGTGTACACCTGAGGTGTTGCCTGTTTATCATTTTGTTCAAGATTTGTGTGCTATTAAGAATTCTGTGATTCCCTTGACAGCTGTGGTACCCAACCCAGCCACTGTACTTTCTCAAATACCTGCTTCTGCTCTTTATTTTTCTGTGGTGGATCTCTGTAATGCTTTTTTTTTTCTATACCAGTTCACCCTGACTCTCAAGATTTATTTGCTTTTACTTACCAGCGCCAGCAAGACACCTTCACCTGTCTGCCTCAAGGATTTCGTGACTCACCCACCACATATAGCCAACTTCTCAAGTCTGACCTCGATACAGTCCAGTTGCCTCATGATTCTGTGCTAGTCCAATACGTAGATGATTTGCTCCTCTACTCTGATACCCTCCCTCATTGCCAAGTTGACTCTGTCACTCTTTTAGAACAACTTGCAGCAGGGGGCCACAAAGCCTCCCGCTCTAAGCTCCAATTCTGTCAGACTTCTGTTACCTATCTGTGGTACACTATTTCTCACGGTACCCATCACCTGTCTCCTGATTGTCTTTCTGCTGTTCTTTCCCTTCCATACCCACAAACTAAACACCAACTTCATGGTTTCCTAGGTGCTGCCAACTACTGCCGACAGTAGATTTCTAATTATTCTGGACTTTCCAGACCTCTCAACCTTCTTATCTGTGACTCTTCCCCTGACCCGCTACCCTGGGAAGACGTCCATGAATCTGCCTTCTGTCACCTCAGACAAGCCCTTTCTTCTTCCCCTGCTCTCGGTCTGCCTGACTATTCTAAGCCTTTCACTCTCTTCTGCCACGAACACCAGGGCACTGCCTCTGGTGTCTTGACTCAGCCTTTCAGACCCTCCCAGCACCGTCCTATTGCTTACTATAGTGCCTCCCTTGACCCAGTCACTTCTGGGTTTCCTCCTTGTCTCCGTGCCATTGCTGCCACCTCTGTGCTGGTTTCTAAAACTGACAACCTTGTCCTTGGGCACCCCCTTACTTTTGCTGTCCTGCACGCTGTCCTCACCCTCCTCCAGTGCAGCAGGACTCAGCACTTGTCCCCTGGCCGTCTAACCCGCTACGAGGTGGTTCTCTTGGCTGCGGACCACATGACCCTTGTCCGCTGTGATCCCCTCAGTCCTACCTCTCTTCTTCCTTCACCCTCAGACAGCCAACCCCATGACTGCACTCAGCTTGTGGATTTTGTTTCTCTTCCCATCCTGATCTTTCTGATACCCCTCTGACTATCCCTGACCTCATTTTCTACGTTGATGGCTCCTGTTTCTGAGATAATCATGGCATTCTCTGAGCTGGCTATGCTGTTTGTTCTGATCATACTGTTATTAAATCCACTCCTCTTTCTGTTACTAGTGCTCAAGCTGATGAACTCATTGCTCTCACTCGTGTCTGTCACCCTGCCGCTGGACAGTCTGCTAATATCTATACAGACTCTCATTATGCCTTTGGTGTCTGCCATTCTTTTGGACAGATCTGGAAACAGCAAGGTTTTCTTACTTCTGCTGGGACTCCCATCTCTCACCATCACCTTATTACTGCTCTCCTGGATGCTATTCTCCTTCCCTCCACCCTTGCTGTTCTATGGTGCAAAGTGCACACTGCTACTGATGATCCTGTGTCTCTGGGAAACGATAGAGTGGATGCCGTGGGCAAGACCACCGCCCTGTCAAAATGCTCGGCTCCAGTCCTTCAGGCCACTCTCTTCCTCTCTTCCCCTGTCTCCCCTGACCTTCCCTTTCTCCAGGATGCCACCCCAGATGCCAAAAAAGACGCCTGGATCTCCGTGGGCTGCTGTCTCCACTCTGACTCCTTGTGGCGGCACCCATCTGGTCGCCTTGTAGCCCTCAGGGCCCTGCTATCCCTCTTGGCTCAAATGGCCCACTCAGTGGCCCATTCAGCCAAAGGGGGGTGGTAGCCGAAGTTGACCGCCATTGGTATGGCCCCGGTTTTTCCGCCGTGGCTGCCCATTTTTGTTGCCAGTGTCCGCAGTGTCAGCGACACAATCCTGGCCGACCACCCTGCCAGCCACATGCATTCCACAGACCTTTAGGTCTTTACCCCTTGTGCCATCTCCAGTTGGACTTCATCAAGTTGCCCAGGTCGGGACCCTGGAAGTATGTGTTGGTCATTGTCTGTCTTTTTAGCGGCTGCCCTGAGGCATACCCTTGCCAATGGGCTGATGCCCTCACTGTGGCCAAAAAGCTTCTTTTTCACCTGTTGCCCCGCTTCGGTCTACCCCTTTCCCTGGACTCAGACCGTGGCCCCCATTTTGTTGGCCAGGTGGTCCAACACGTTTGCAAGGTCCTTTCCATCCAATACCAGCTCCATACCCCAATTCATCCTCAGAGTGGGGGGTAAAGTGGAATGGAAAAACTTTGACATTAAGCTTTGCCTAGCAAAAACCTGTGAGCAAACTGGTCTAAAGTGGCCAGAGGCCCTCCCATTGGTACTTTTCCAAATCTG